GAGGTTTCATCATGTTGGCCAGGCTGGTCACAAACTCCTGACCTCAGTGACCCACCCGCCTTGGCCTCCCAAAGTGCTGGTATTACAGGCGTGAGCCACTGCTCCCGGCTGAGGCTTGCATCTCATGGGGCAAGAGTGAGTTGGGTGTGATATTCTTCCATTGCCCCGGCATGGATGATGTAAGGGGAACTGGGTATCATGAGCAAGGCAGAGTGTGGAGGGCAAGACACTAACCAGACCCTGCAGGACCCTCTCTGTGGTGTTGAACTTCCTGGAGCCAGGGCGACGCATGTCCTCCTCGTACTGCAGGTTGGTGATGGTGAAGTTGAGGGTGAACGGCACCAGGAGAGGGCCAGCAGCTGTAGTGGGAGTGGGAAATAAACATTATGTTCAAAGTAGAGAGAATAGCACTTTGTAATAACCATATGCAGCAATTAAATTAAGTGACATAATAAATATTTTCCATGCCTTTCTTATCTATGATATAATTTACTTTCTAAAGTAGATTATATAATAGTAGTTAGATGCTGAGCATAGCTCTTGGCACATATGTAGTGCTCAATATTGTGAGATGATATCTGTTATCTTTATTATCACCATTATCATCATCACTATCATAGTCATCATTATTATTATTATCATCATTATTCTCATCACAAGTACCACCAGCACCACCATGATGATCCCCATCATGGTCATGATCCACAAACATCATCATCACCATCATCACATTCAACATATCATTACCATCATAACCCCACCACCATCACCGACATCATTCTCATTACCATCATCGTCATTGGCATGGACATCACCGTCACCATTATCAACAATGTCAGTAGCATAATAATAATCATCATCATCACCATCAACACTACCACCATCACCATCATCATCATCACACTCAACATATCATTACCATCATAACCCCACCACCATCACCGACATCATCCTCATCCCCATCATTGTAATTGTCATTGACATCACCATTACCATCATCAACATCACTAGCATAATAATAATAATCATCACCATCGTCAACACCACCACCATCATCATCACACTCAACTTATCATTATTACCATAGTAACCCCCACCACCATCACCAGCATCATTTTCTTCAACATCATCACCATCACCATCATCATCAACAGCACCACCACCACCACCATCATCATCATGACAAGAATACAAGCTCACTGAGAGCAGAGATTTTGTATCGGTTTTGTTTTCCCTGCTGTATCTCTAGGATCTGGTACACACTAAGTGGCCAACAAATTTCGTTGGTCCACTCACTGTCAGTAGATTTGCTATGACTTTCCATCTTCATCTGAGTAAAAATGACAGAGACAGCATGCTGTAATAGAGATGTCATTAACTGGTACTTACTCGTGGGGCTGGGGCTGGAGGATAGAGTCCCTGAGGTTCCCACATCCACTGTGGAGGTCCCAGGAGCTGAGGAGAAGTCCTCATTAGTGGGAGCAGAAAGCACTACCATGGCAGAAATGCCAAAAGGTGACTTTTATAGGGTTTGCTGCATGTGGGCTTGAGCTGAGTCTGTCTTTGAAACTGGGGCAGAGAGGAGCCTGAATGACTTCTGCCTTCCCAGCTGCTTTGCTCAAGAGGACTTATGGGTTTATGAAGAGGGGCAGCTCCTGCTTTGCTTTGTGTAGGATCATGGGCATGTGGAAATGAGTTGAATACTCACTGCTGGTGGCGGACATAGAGCTTCGATGGGTGAAACCTGCATAGAGAAGGAGGGAGGAGTATGGGTAAGTGACGAGGAGATGTGGGGACCAATTAGGGGTCAGGGTTACCCTGGTGCAATGGAAGGAGTTTCATGCAACAGGGACCATGAAAGATTTCCTATCAGCGCCCTCATATCGGGGAAGAATGCCCTGATGGAATTCATTCCATGTTGATGAAGAAACCGTGAAATCCTGGCCAGGTGCGGTGGCTCAAGCCTGTAATCCCAACACTTTGGGAGGCCAAGGCAAGGTGGATTATGAGGTCAAGAGATCGAGACCATCCTGGCCAACATGGAGAAACCCTGTCTCTACTAAAAATACAAAAATTAGTTGAGTGTGGTGGCATGCATCTGTAGTCCCATCTACTCGGGAGGCTGAGGCAGGAGAATTGCTTGAACCTGGGAGGCGGAGGTTGCAGTGAGCTGAGATCATGCCACTGCACCTCAGCCTGGCAACAGAGTGAGACTCCGTCTCAAAAAAAAGAGATAATCTGAAGTCCAGAACTTAGTCATCCCATGTAGAGCACAGGGACAAATTTTCAATTGCCTGGTAGTGAGTGTGACCTCAAGCCAGAGATTACAGGCTGCCCAGCAAGGAGGAAGAGGAAGAGCCTCCAACCACATCACAGCTGCTCACCGTTGACATAGAGACTGTTCCGGTCCAGGGTGTAGGGGCCCAGCTCCTGGATGCCATTGGTCAGGTTGCTCAGCTCCCAGTACAGTCGCTCTCTGTCCAGTCCGAGGCCTTCAGGGTCAGGGCGATGTGTGCAGATGGCATCCACTGCTGTGGCTGATCCGTCCTTCTCTGGCCTGGTTAAGAACCTACATATGCTTAGTCAATCCACCTCTCCATCCTTTTGTCCTTCCTTTCCACTCTTTGTCAGCCCCTAATGCGAAATCTGGGGAAACTGTGGTTAACAAGAATGTGGCTCTCAGTCCGGGCACAGTGGCTCACGCCTGTAATCCCAACACTTTGGGAGGCTGAGGCGGGTGGATCACGAGGTCAAGAGATTGAGACCATCCTGGCCAACATGGTGAAACCCTATCTCCACTAAAAATGCAAAAATTAGCTGGGTGTGGTGGTACGTGCCTGCAGTCCCAGCTACTCGGGAGGCTAAGCCAGGAGAATTGCTTGAACCCAGGAGCCAGAGGTTGCAGTGAGCCAAGATCACGCCACTGCACTCCAGCTTGGGCAACAGAGCGAGACTCTGTCTCAAACAAACAAACAAGCAAACAAACAAAAAGAATGCGGCTCTCATCAGAGAGATGCCTACCATAAACAAATTACTAGGATTATTAGTGGAAGCAGAAAACATTATCATGGCAGAAATGCCAAGAGGTGAGACTTTTATAGGGTTTACTGCATGTGGCTTGAGCTGAGTCTGTCTTTGGAACTGGGGCAGAGGGGAGCTTGAATAGTTTCTGCCTTCCCAGCTGCTTTGCTCAAGAGGAGGGCTTATGGGTTTATGAGGAGGGGCAGCTCCTGCTTTGCTTGGTGTTGGATCCTAGGATAATAATGCCAGGGATCTGCATGGCCCCGAATAAGCCTCCTAAAGTACCAGATGTGCGACAGCTGTACTTAGGGTCAATCTGTAATCCGTGCCAGTGGCCCTTGTACTGGTGCGCGTAGCAGTGGCCCTCCTACTGGTGCCCACGGCATGGTGTTTTCAAATGGCGGGATCAGAAGGTTCAAGTAATCGTCTCTAGATCCTACGGACCAGCAGGGCTAGGAGATTTGTTATGAAACTTAAAGGACCTGAATGGCTTGGGAAAAATGCCCTTTTTGGCTGGTCTGTCTGAAACTGTGGCTGGTCCAACAAGCAGTCAGAAGGTCTTCGTGTCTCAGCACCTGTTCCTGGCCACAGGACATGGACTCACCTACCTGGCCACCCACTATTGAGTGATTAGAGGAAAAGGGGCTCCTATGTCCCAGGGTTGTGAGTAGCTCTATAGTACGAACGACTTTATAGTAACAACTACCATTTATTAAATTCTTCCTATGCAGCAGGCCCAGCATTTTGTATTCATAATCACATATTTTCATCCTCAAAGCATCCCTATGGGTTGGTACTGCTCAATTGCCCCAGTCAG